ACCGGACACCGGTACCCATCCCTAGCCATACAGTTTGAAAATGATCACAAGTGTACAAGAGAACATGTTTAAGGTTTGCAGGAAACATTTTATTTGAATTCAATTTCAATTATACAGCAACAAGTCACAACAACAGTCACCTCAAGGTGATTGTAATTATGAATCTTTGAATATATGCTGCTACAGCCGTGAATGTGGGAATTCTTGTAATTTCTGGATGTAATAATTTCACATTTCTGAAGACAGCTTTGAGAAAAATACAGGCTTAATAGTTGGTAACAGCTTGGTTATGATACTGTATTAACTAACTTATAATTTATTCCAGCAAATCAAAATTAACCCAAAATATTCTTTTAAACAACTTTATGTCTTTAAGAGTATGGATTGCTGAAATTATGAGGTGCACCTAAAGGCACCATGAATAGCCATAGCATGTCCGTGGTTCCTGTTTGAATTGATAACAGGAAATGGATTAGAGCAATCTGCTGTAGTATTAGAATTTTAGATAAATTCACTAATGAGCAGCAAGCTCCAATGCATTTATTTAGTTGCAAGGAAGCAATGGCATACACAATATTATCCTGGGAACAGATATGTGTGAGATGCTCTTACAGAAAGAGTTCAGTTACATGGTCTACCTGTACATGAATCCCTCCGTGCTTTGGATAATGGATGGCAGAGGAGTCACAACAAGGCCGGAGGAAAAAGACTGATTCGAGGGACATGAAGACAGAGAGATGCATTCCTTCAGTTTTCTGAAAAGAGTGTTGCCTAGCTTTACTACATTTTTCTGTCATTTCACTCCTGTTTATGCTACACTCCTTTATAACATTTACTCAAGATGCAGTGAATAGTGTTTTTCTGCTAATACATCAGTGTTACTCTAGTTTCTATGCCCCACTCCTTTACAATTTGGGGCAACTGCTTAAAGTCTTTTAGTGTGAACAAGTTGAAAGGCATGAGCAGAGAAACTAATGCACAGGTTCCTTTCCCTTCAAAGGGTAGTCTAGCTCTCAGCTTGCCATCCCTGCAGAGCTACCACACATCAACCCTTTCTGTGGTATGGTTAACAAACCAATCCTTGAGGTAAGGGCCAGGGGCTTGAGTCACATCATAGATGATGTTGCACCAGCTGAAGTCCTGCATATCCCAAACGTGAACATGCCTGTAAAAACAGGTGTAATTTTCATGTTAACTTTTAGCATTTGGAGGCAAAGATTTACAGGCCTCACTTGGAGGGTCAGTGAAGTGCTCGTAAACAACTGAAAGCCTGAAGTGGGGGAGTTGTTGGTGGAGTGGAGTCTTCAGGCTTGTGGTTGGTTCACTGTCGGAGTGTTTTCCAGACTGAAGCAGAGTCATTAGCTGAAAACAGTTTTTGGACCTGAAAGTCTTTCAAACTGTCTCTGTCCCCACTCCGAAACACTTCCTGCTTTTCCAGCCTCAGCCTGCTTTGGCTTAGCTGTGAACCAGAGCTCGTCATTATTCTAACTCACCCTGGTGTTTGATGCTGTGCAGCTGTCCTCACAGAAGCTGACGTCACAGGTTATCACAGCATCTCTATAATAATTATTAAATCTGGTTCTTGTCATTCTCTTACTGAATAGAGAGAACACGACTCAGTTAATCAAAATATTTATAATTCTTATTTAATTATCTCCCAGAAGAGAGAGACCTGCACAGCCCAAAAAGCCAGTTGCAAAATCTCTAGCATTAGAAGCCAAAAATGTGTCTCATATAGGTGTTATTTTAGTCCTTTACACGTCACACACAGTTTCAATTAAAAAAAACTCCTTCTGTGTTACTAGTTCCACTTTTTCTGTCTGGTTTCCTGTATTTTATTAACATGTCTGTGCAGCTCTGCACTAAACTTCCTGTTTTTTAAACTTCCACTAACTTAAGCTTCTGTTGCTAAGGCGACCTGTCGCCCTCTGACCTAGTTCTCTCTCACAGCTGGCCTTGCTTTATAGAGGCCTTTATTATTAACATACATAAAAGAATATAATCAGAAAATAAGCACTAAGAATATATGTTTATTCCGTAACATAATCCAAACTGTTGGTAACAATCCTGAAAACCTCCCAGTCGGTGCAGTCCAGACACACCTGCAGATTCTCCAGTCTCATCCATCCACTGCTTCAGTGTCTTTACAAAAGCTTTAGAGAGCTTCAGTTTGTGCCTGTTTGCAGGGATCAAGTAAACCATGACTTAGGTCTGCATTAGGTCTGAGAATCCTAATGCATTGTGAGATGATGACCCTCTTACTGTCAGCTCACCTTCAGCGTTTTTCCGTTTGTTCGTAACGCAACAACAAATGTGTGGAAAAAAGCGTGAGTCGTTATCACCAGAGATTTTGAGTGAAACCATTTTCAAACCTTGATTCACCCTATCATGTGGTTAGGTGCTGTCCCTATTAAAGAGCAAAGAGCCTTTCTTTCCACTTATTCCATGTAAAGGATGGCTACAATGAGTAAAAACATGGGAGCTAATTGCATATCCCTGTTTCTGTCTGTAGAAACCGTTGTTGTATTTAAAACTCTGGTTTCATCTGGATCAAGTGTAAGTTTGTGGACCTTGTTGGTGAAGTCAGCAGAGTTTTTGATGTGATGGGGTGTGTTCCCCACAAGGGGAGCTAGGATGGTGATGAGGTGCTTGGAAATGTTGTAGGTGGCTGAGTTTATGCTGCTACCAATCCAATCCTTTGTGTATCTATGGAAGTCCATATATACAGGGTGCAGCATCCACCGGGTAAAGGTGGTGGTATGCAGGGAGCTCAGTGGCTTTTTCCCTTTCAAGTTCTTGTTGCAGCTGATGACTTTCTTTTTGTAGCTGCTTCTGGGGTTTCACCTTGAAGCTTCATAGGTATTGTTGTCACTGAGTGTAGTAATGTTTATTTGCTCTGCTTCTTCTTGTCAGGGATAAAATGCATATCTATACTTTTTGTGTCCCAGCTGAGTAACAGGAGGAGAAGAGTCTGGTGGAGCAGCAGACGAACAGTTTCAGCCATTTGGACTCAGCTCAGCCACTACAGAGGAAACAATGACTTCAACACAGGAGGTGAGAAAAATATCTCAGTTACTGTTATTTAAACTGTGTGCACAGCTGGATGTTTTGTTTTTTTTTTGTTTTGTTTTTTTAAAAGCTCTGTTTGTATCTCTGTCACTGCAGGACCAACATGGAGCGAGAAGTCAGCGCTCTCAGGAGGCCGACAAACCTCACAGAAGAAAGGGGGAGAAAAAATACAGCTGTGACGAGTGTGGGAAGGATTTTAGCCATCCTAAAAACTTGAAACCCCACCAACTCATCCACAGAGGAATTAAATCATACAGCTGTGCTGAGTGTGGAAAATCTTTTACCCAGGCTGGACACTTAAAAACACACCAAATCACCCACAGTGGAGTAAAACCGTACATCTGTGACTTATGTGGAAATTCTTTTACTCAGGCTGGAAGTTTAAAAACACACAAATTCATTCACAGTGGAGTTAAACCGTTCAGGTGTGATTTGTGTGGAAAGTCTTTTACCCATCTTGGAAGCTTGAAAACACACCAGCTTATCCACAGTGGCGTTAAAGCGTACAGCTGTGACTTGTGTGGAAAATCTTTTAGCCAACCTGGACACTTAAAAACACACCAACTCATCCACAGTGGAGTTAAAGCACACAGCTGTGAGTTGTGTGGTAAAGCTTTTACACGCAGTAGCCACTTAAGAAGCCATCAAGTTACCCACTCTGGAATCAAGGCGTACAGCTGCGACATTTGTGGAAAAAATTTTGCCCAGCCAGGGCACCGAAATATACACGTACGGATTCACACCAAAAATGATTTTTGCTTCTGTGATCAGTGCGGCAAACTGTTTGTGACACACAAAGACTTACAGCAGCACATGTTTACCCACACTGAGGAGAGACCTTATAAATGTGACCTCTGTGATAAGGCTTTTAAAGAGCCACGTTCCCTAAGAGTCCACCAACAGATTCACATCAGAAAGAAACTCTACAAGTGCAGTTACTGTGAGGTATGTATTTATATTTCTTTCTTTTTACAGTTGCAGTTATTTTGAAGTACAATGTGCATTTAGTTTAATTTCGAAACGAAATGAGACATGAAAACTCAGTGAATTCTGACACAAATCTCCTGAAACTTTACTGATGTTGGAAAAAAGTTAAGTTTTAAACCTTGTCTCATTTCTATGTATCTAACATTCAAAGTCCAATGGATCCATTAGAGAGTACCTTGGGGTTATTATCTTGTGGCATGCAGAGTAGAGCATCCAGGGGTTTAACATCCAATCTTCCCATTAAGTAGATTTCCAACGAATTAAGAGACATTTTTGCCCAGTAAGCTGAGTGTTATAATGTAAACAGTAAAATGTAATTGGACACTGGCAAAGATGCTCTTTATTACAGGCAATGTTCAGGATAAAAATGTTGAAGGAATTCTCTGACTTACACTGTGTTTGTTTAGAAGCAGAGCGACACAGATGGATCCAGTTCTCAACCCTGTCGTCAATGTGGTGGTGGGAAAGTGTGTCGTTGCGTTGTTTGTGCATAACATTTCAAACATCAAGAGAGCCTAAAACCACATCAATGTAGACACACTGGGTACAAAATGAACTACTTCAACGAATGTGGAAGAGGCTTCCCCACATCAAGTCAATTAATAAAAAAGCAATTAACCATAAAGCACTATCTCCTTCACACTGGTATTCAAAAGCACCTTTGTGACCATTGTCAGTCATCCTTCATTACTGCACGTGACCTTAAAGTGCATAAATGAGTCCACACGAGAGAAACCATACAAGTGCAGACACTGTGACAGAAGCCTCCTACATCGGCTCATTGTAAACGTCATGAGATTACACACATTGAAGGGAACCTGCTAAGGAAGAATTTCATGGCTCTGAGTACCGTTTGTTTTTTTGTGATGTATATGAACAATAAACTTCCTGAATCTTGAATGTAGAGTCCACCAGAACACAGAATTATATTTCAAATATATTTACGACTTAATTTAAACAGAATGTGGGAGAGGCTTCCCCAAACCAAGTGAATTAAAAAAACATGAACTGATCTCAAGTGGGGTTAAAAATCGCCTCTGTTCTCTGGGCTTTACTTTCATGTAATACCAGTTTGTACCAGAAGATGGAGCAGTGAGTTAGTGTAACCTCTTATTCACAGTGGCAACAAAGTAGTGATGGGAATTCCGGCTCTTTTTAGAGAACTGGCTCTTTTGGCTCAGCTCACTAAAAAGATTGCCAGCTTACCGGCTCCCAACTGGCTCTTCAGGTTGTTTTGTTGCTTTAATTAATTTATCATTAACAAAATGATATAACATTATGTACAAAAGGAATTACTAATGTTTAAAATAAAACGTGGTTTTATTTATATATGTTTATATAGAAATATATACGGTGGCCTCTAGAGACAAAGCACGTACAAACTCCAAAACACATGTCTAGCATTAACTGAACTTCCAAAACAGAGCTACCTAGATCACTTAAATTACACAATTGAAAGCATATGTGTACTGTTAGTATATTTATACACAAGCACTCTTATATATTCAAATAATTATGATTAAAAATGTTCACCTGTTACTACCACACACCAAATTAGGTCATTGGTACATCCTGGCTTGTGTAGCCACTAGGTAACAAAAGCTCAACACTGCGCCTAGCATCCTGGAGCACTTCTGTTTGGAGTTTGTACGTGCTTTGTCTCTAGGGGCCACTGTAAATATGCTTTTATTTATTCACTCCACATAAAATGTAATAAAATACAAAAAACAACTATTTACATTTCAACTTTTAACTATTTAAATTTTCAACCTTTTGCGTTTAAACACATTTAAAGTGAAACAACACAAAACACTGCAATACCACAATACAATTAAATATAAATTAAAATATGCAAAAGAAAAGAAGATGCACATTTTCTGTCATATACGCCTGCATGAATAAACTTTCTGAATCCTTTATCATCCGCAACTGTAAATAGTTGATTTGATAATTACTATACTTTTCTAATGTGATGTTGTTGTCCCTGGCTCACTTTCTCTCTGGCTGTATCCCAATTCAGGTTCTGCAGCCTTAACCTACGCAGCCTTAACGGTCCACAAGGGCCGCGTACTCAAAGACCACTAAGACCAGAAGTGCGAGGCTTGTGAAATGGGACAGTCTAGCCTCCGTCGTGCTGCCCAGGTTGCCTAGCAACAGCTGGAAACGTTTCATACAGCTTTATTTGACAGAAATGAAGAAGAACATATTTTGTTCATTTGTTTATTTGTTTCTACAAGAGCTTTGTGTGATTTGAGGAGTATCTGAGGCTGAGACCACGGAACTGCAAAACATGATTGTTGGGCTTCATTTCTGTACTGAACAGTCATTTTAAGATTAGCTATTAAATAACAATTAGCTAACGTTGTTCTTGAGACTAAAGTCAGTGTAAATATAATATGACCAATATTATAGTTATTATATTAATCATTATTAGTTATTACAGCACTGAACTTGAACTCTTAAATCAAATCACTTTTATTGTCACAACACATGTGCAGGTACACTGGTACAGCACATGTGAGTGAAATTCATGTGAGTGAACTCTGTGTCAAATACTGAGCTTCAGTAAAGATTCAAGTTGCAGTTATTTATATTTCCCATCACCTTAGATGTATAGATGTGTTATATATAAGAGACAAATATTGTTCGTTTAATATGTTGGTATTATTACATTTGGCTCAATGCTTACATATATGTGTAAAAAGCAAATGTACGAGCTGTGATAACTGTGTCTGATAGAATGAAGAGTAGACTGATATATGAAATATTCCTTTATTGGGTCAGAAAATCAGACCATGTCATAACTGCTGTAAGTCACACAGAATAGATATCAGAGCCTTAAACAGGCTGACTTCTGCTAAATGGGTCAAACTGGGCAGAAAGTCTACAAACACATAACATCCTTATAGAATATGATGTAACACTATAGATCAACTTACCTCATTCAGGTTATATTCAGGTTTCTGAACATTAAAGTTGTTGCTGCCTTTCATAGTGTGTAACTTGAAGGCCCTGAGTACTCTGAGTACTTTCTCCCACACTGGAAACACTGGGATGATAACATTATTTGAACATTACCTAATAAGACTGATTCAGCACAGACAGTTATGTTAAACTTTCCTAGCAGTCCTTCACAAACAGGGAACAGTCTGTCTATTCTCTCCATCTGTCAGCTGCTGCTGGCTCTTCCTCCTCCTCTTCCTCACACACTGCTGAGTTTGTCCTGGTGGATCATCAGGGGTGCAAAGCCTCACAGATGATGTGCAGCAGTGGGTCCCTCAGTCTGTCCTCACTCTGGACACTTGCAGTCGTCACACATGGAAATCAAATGTGTGATAAGCTGCTGGATTCAAACACAAGTGTAACTTATAAACACATGTTCATACTTTTATTCCACAATCAGAGAGAAAGAAACAAAGAGAGTGCAGGACAGACAGACAGGTGACAGTCTCAGGTGTACACACTGCTACACAACAGCACCAGAGAAGCAGGATTTAGTGTTTGTGTTATTACGAGTGTAAACAAGAGTTCCAGATGGTACAGTGGACACATGTGTGACTGCTGTGATTAAAGCATCTTTCTTTCAGCTTAACGAGTGAACCGTCAGCTCGTTCAAACACACGTTAAAGTCCGTTTAGCTCGACACCACCGAACAGAGGCAGCAATATAACACAGCTAACATTAACAGTGCAGTGAATCCTGCTTGTGCTGTGATGTTCAGGACTGCAAACCGAGCAGCATAACTGACTTTCAGCTTGTTGTGTTTGTGGATATATGACTGACTTTAATTATCCACAAAATCATCAGATTCTCTGTAAGATTAAGGTCAACTATCTAACGGCGTATATTTTAAAGTAAAGGCTTTAAAACCAAGTTAGTACAAACATCACTAATGTCACATAACTTTGCCGACATGTGGCCAACAGTAATGTTTTAATGTTCTTTGTTATTAAACATTCGCGCATAAATAAGTTACATAATATTCAGTACTTACTTTTAAAAGTTTACTCTTCGGCCGCTCCTCTTGCACCGTTTTTTTCGGCAAAATTATCCACACCCACCTCCGCGCTATGAAGTCTGGGATATATTGGGCCACGAAGTCTACACCACCACATACTTAAAATTCAGGGAAATGAAGGACGCATTTGAGGCCGCATTTCGAGCAGCCTTTGAATTGGGACAGCCTTCGTCGCGTCGCTGTGACGTAATTGGCCTTAAAATGCGGCCTTTAAGGCTGCAGACCCTGAATTGGGATACGGCCTCTCTCTCCCTCCCGCTCTGTTCCTGTGCTACTGCGAGTGTAACTACCGCCCCTCCCCCCTCTGCCCTGCGCAAGCACAAGGCTTACATGCGGAGTGAAGCAGAAAACAAGTGCGAGAGAGAGGGTGAGAGAAAGAAAGAAAAAAAAAAACACGAGCCGGCTCTCAACTCAAAGAGTCGGCTCTAAGAGCCGTTTCGTTCGCGACCGTCACATCACTACAGCAGCACACATCAGGACCATTTTAAACATCACATTTTAGGTAATTAAAATTCCATCAAACCTCTACTTTTGGCTCCTCCTTTCACTTTAGTGTGTTTACCGTATCCACAAATTGTTATTTTTAGTGAATGCGTTTTGATCCAGATGTTCTGAAGCTGTTTTCTTGTTGATTTGATGTTTGTATTATGAAATCCTTATGCTGTTAAAGCATTAGTTGTATTTGATTAACTCTGTGTAAAGTGCGTCTAAATAAGCAGTTTAGTGTGTAAAATTAAGAAATTGTCTCACAACAAATAGCTTGAGCCAGGATTTCAGATTCAAACTAATTTAACTGTTTTCAGTGGCACATGTGGAGGTTTATCAAAGGAGGAGATTTGGGTGTTCTCCACTCACAGTGAACAGGGTTTTTTGCAAAAACCTGCTGTGGGTATGAAGTTTGCAGAGGGCGTGTTTGAGATGCTAAAAAGATGATTTTTCCTTCCAAAGTCCAAACACAAAACTGTGTGATTGTTAATACCTGAAGTGAGATTACAGGAAGATAAGCTGAAAAAAAAATATTAGTGCAGTGTGCACTCCTGTGTTTCTAAAGAGCAGCTTTTACAGTGACTAATGAAAGAAAGGCTAACCATTCCAAAACCACCTTTGCACCTGTTACCATTAGTGGAGGTCCAGTTTGTGTGCACTGGCATGGATCTCATCGGGTTGTTTTCAGTGTTGGGCAAGTTATTTTGAAGAAGTAATTAGTTATAGTTACTTCTTCAAAAAAGTAACTGAGTTAATAATTGATTTACAATATTATAAAAGTAACTAAATACTACAAAATATTTTTTTAAGTAATAATGTTTATAATGTTACAGTTTGATACTCTGATGATTTCTTGTGAGCATTCCTTTAGTTTGAACCCGGTGACAGTATGAAGTTATTATGAAGTTCACTGCTCTGTCACAATCACCATGGTTCATCAACATTTCATGATGTGTGTGAATTTTTCTTTCCACTGTTGGTGTGTTTTGTTGTGTTGATTAAAACAACCAAATGCAGCTTTCATAGTTTATCATGTGTTGTGAAACTGTGATCTTTGGAGACATGGAATGTGAATGTGTTGTCTGAAAAACACTTTAGGTTAACTTCTGCTACATAAATAAGAATGATTTGACTCGAAAAATAAAAACTGTTTTTATGTTCAGACGTCTTTATTCTTGAAGTTTAAAGTTGGATTGTTAAATTCTAATAAAAGTGGTAATTTAACACATTCTAATAATAGTAATAATGATGATTATGATAATAATAATAATAATACATTTTATATATAGGCGCCTTTAAGACCCTCAAGGTCACCTTACAATGGCACAGAAGGAAGAACAGCACCTTAGCATGATGTTATACTATAACCATAACCTTAAGAAGTATTCCGGATGGGTGAGAGAAAAAAGTTAATTCGTTGTTGGTTTTGTGCGCATGCGCCACGTCTGCGCGGAAACATTGGGTAGGATGTTTTTCCAGGTAGGATCGATTCCCAGAACACCAGCTATCCGAAAACAGCCCAGTGGTTAACAGCTGATGCTAATATCTGACAGTAAATATGTCCAAAAGTACTTTTTTTTGCCTTTTCGTCAAGTCTTTCTTTGTACGGACCTGCCGTGTTCTCCGTCGTTTTGTACATCACTGTTTTTGGGGCAAATAAAATGCAAGTAGGGATTAAAACCGCAGAATTAATTATTAGCGGTGCTGGAAATACTAGCGCTTGATGCAGTGTTTTGATTTTTTTGCCACTTGTACCCACAATGCAATGCGCGAAAGTCACGTGGTCTGTCAGCAGCGGCAGCCAAAACGCGCCAGCATCCACTCCCCCTTCTGCCCTGTGAAAGGGTAGATTTGATTGGGATTAATATAATATATAAAAATATATTATTTTTAATGTCAGCTTTTAGTTTACAGGTATGACTGAAACTTCATTTCAGCACTAAATGAGCGACCTGGATATTCTTTCCCTCTCTGACTGCGTTGCTGTTTGCAAGATTAATAACGGAAAAGCAGGAAGAAGGGGGCGGAGCAAAGTGTGTGCGCAGGAGAGGAGCAGAGAGAGCTGCTTTTTCACGAAACGGAAGTAAAGTAGTGAAGTTCGAGGAGAGAAACAAACTAAAGTATCGATCATAAACCACTACCAACGTCCTGATCGATATCTGCATCGATCTGCCCACCCTTGTCTCCTGGATCGTAGCTGAGATCAGCGTGAACCACGTGGGTCTCTGCTCCCTGATCTGTTCCCTGTGTTTGGAAAGAGTTGCAGCTTCATCGCGGAGTTTCTCTCGGTTTGTGGGCTCATCTAAAGGTAAGCACCGAGCTAACTTTACTGTGAGTTCAGTTCATGTTGAGTTTAGCTCCTGAATGAGGTCTTCTGCTGCTCTCCTCGGTGTCTGTTCACAGTTTATTGTGAACACGTTGAGAGAAGAGTGAGAGAGTGTTTGGAGAAAAACACCAACTAATCATTAGCTCAGCATGCTGGGAGAAGTTGGAGCAGGAAAGTCTTTTCATTGTCCCTGCAGCTGTTTTTCTGCCTGCACCAAACCTCTACAGCCTCGTTTCTATTTGAAGTGATAATCAATTTTGAATTGATTTTCTAAACCCACCCCAACTCACCCTGGTGTGTGAGTTGGGGTGGGTTTAGAAAATCGATTCAAAACTGATTCAAATTGATTTTAGCATGAACAATGCGATATCTATTTATTAAATCGTAAATGGATTTTGAAATATAAATATATTTTGCCAGAAATGCCAGAATCTCAGGTTAAAACTCACAAAACTACTTCAACAACCACAAAACGGCTAAAACGGGTTATCTGCTGTAAAAAGCCAGGCCAGGGACATCTCCTTCATGTTTTCCTGTGTTTTATCCTCAAATACTTTGACTGCCATAATGCTTACACCTCTGATGAAGTCTGACAAATGTCGATACTGATAAATTACTAGAATTATAATATTTCTGACTGTGTGAGTCAAAATTGAATTGAATCCACACCTGCTGAATCAGAATCAAATGGATTATAGAAATCTAGGCCGAGGCCCGAAAGAACGGGATGTAGCTGTGGGTGATGAGGAAAGATGAAAAGAACAATTGATAACTTTTTCATTAAGTTAAGGCCTGATCTGTCTGAAATTCATAGCCAGTGCTCTGACACGGAGCCATCAACCTTTCAGCTTATGTTTAACACTGGTTCAGAGACCGCATCAAATAATGAGCCACATGTGATTGACTCCGAGCCACAGCCCACTGACAGTAAAAGGGGGAAAGTGAATACATTTCGAATAGAGTAGCTTGACCAGTTTCCCTGGCTGTGATACAGTAAAGCTGACAACATAATGCACTGCGTTTACTAGTGGTGCAACGGATCAAAAATCTCACGGTATGGATCGGATCACGGTTTTAAATCACGGATCGGATAAATTTTTGGATCATCAAAAATAGAAAAAAAGACAAATTCGACTCGCCATTTACTTATTTAAGTATTTTTTTGCCTATTAAAAATCATTCAACTGAAGACTCATTCCACGCACTTATATAAAAACAAATTAAGGTGCAATATGGACATTATGGACCAGGCTGGGCAGCCTCTGCACACGGCCATAAACAACCAGAGGAGTCTGTCAGTGACAGGTTGCTTCTCCCAAAGTCAAAGACCAGCAGACTTTTGTCCCACACGCCATCAAACAGTTTAACTCCTCGCTGGAGGGGAGAGGGAGGGGAAACGGGGACAAAGGAGGGGGGAACAAGTAGCTGTAGTGCCTTTTCACTGTGCAATAGTTTTTGTTAATATCCAACGGTGTAATAGGGCTTTGGAGTTGACGTCACGCCGCAATACATTATGGGAGCGCAGCGCCATTTTCGGGGTCTACGAATCAAACCAAACACACTGTGTTAGAACGACGACTACAAGAAAGATGCTTAAAAGCTGCTCAAAAGAGAATGAACTGTATAGAGACCGATTGCGTCCAGAGGCGAAGCAGCGGTACTTGCAGAAATAGCGTGCATTGGAAATGTGGACCCGTATGAAATACGGCCGTGGAGTAGAAACCCTGAAGACCAACCGCTA